GTGCTAAATGCTAGAGATACAAATACAAGAAAATAGGACTGTCCCTACTTTCAAAAACCTGATGTTCTTTTTTTAAAAGTGAGTTTTTTTATTGATGATTATTTATTGTCTTTTTTTATATCATATTACATTACTTTCCCCCAGTATCCCTTCTCTTCCTCTTCCCAGAGAGCCATCCTATACAATCAATAGTTTTTAAAGACAAAAAAGAAAGAGAAGGGGAAAATCAGCATAGTTGATCGATATATAGAAAAAGTCTGAAAACATGTGCAATGCACAACACTTGTGAATCCAGGAGTGTCTTTTCACATCACTTTTTTCAAGCCATATTATTTTTTTATAATTTAGTAATATTCACTTTTGATTTTCTTTGGAGGCTATTCTTTCCACTTACATTGCTGTAGTCATTGTGTATATATTTTTCTTGGTTCTGCTTAATTTACTCTTCATCAGTTCATGCACATCTTCTTATGCTTCTCTTCATGCCACATTCCTTACAGCACAGCCATATTCTATTACATTCATATACCATGTTTTGGTTCACCATTCCCCAGTCTATTGGAAACATCTATCTGTTTCCAATTCTTTGCTCTCACAAAAATGCTGCTATGAATATTTTGGTGTATTTGGGAACTTTCTTCTTATCAATAGCTACTAAAGGACCTTTCATTCGGATAAAACATAAAAGTGAGCTGGCAAGGGGTGGGGTGGGGTAGGATAGGATATCTGTGCTGGGTGACATTGCTCAGGAGATGGAACGGTCCAGAAAGTGAGTGGAGCTTAGGGTGCAGTGACCATGACTGGAGGTCCACAAGAAATCGTGGCCCAGTCAGGGATTCACCAATCAGGAGAACAGGTGCCAGGGCAGATTCATCCCAAGGTTGGTAAGGTTGTTGAGGAGGTGGAGCAGTCTGGAGAGTGAGTTCACTGGGAAGATGATGAGGCCATCAATAGAAATAGGGTATATGGGATGAAAGTCAGATTTGAGGAGAAGTAGTAAAGATGATAAGCTCAGTGTTGGGGTGTCTTTATTCTGAGAAGCTGCAGGACCTCTGGGTGCAGATTGCAATTCAGGAGATCAAAAGAGCTAGATTCGGGGATCATTTGCATGAAGGTGGAACTACAGCTATGGGCAAGGACAAGATTGCCCATGGAAAACATGCAGATAGAAAAAGAGGAGAATCAAGGTCAGAGCCTTAGAGGACTCTTATATTTAGGAAGCAGGAGGAGGAAGATGTCTCAGTGATGGAGATAAACTGGTTAAGAAGATTGAAAGAGAAATGTGAGAACTCAAGTGTCCCAGAAGTCTGGAAGGACAGAAAGTATGAAGGAGGAATAGAGTGTCATTGTTGTCAAATGCAGCAGGGAGGAGAAGGGCTGAGAAAAGGGCAAGTGTATCTGGCAATTACGAGGTCGCTGGTGGACTTTAACAGAGTAGTTTTTGCCTAGTGGTTTTATAGTGGAAGCCAGAGCAAAAGAGATTGAAAAGTCCGTGCGAGGTGAGGAAGTTGAGGCAATGGGCTGTTTTTTCTAGAGGTTTGACAGTAAAGGGAAGAAGAGAGACAGGGTAATAAAGCCTAGAAAAAAGCTTCAGTTTCTTCCTCCCTCTTTTCTTTCTTTCTTTCTTTCTTTCTTTCTTTCTTTCTTTCTTTCTTTCTTTCTTTCTTTCTTTCTTTCTTTTTTCTTTCCTTCCTTCCTTCCTTCCTTCCTTCCTTCCTTCCTTCCTTCCTTCTTTCTTTCTTTCTTTCTTTCTTTCTTTCTTTCTTTCTTTCTTTCTTTCTTTCTTTCTTTCTTTCTTTCTTTCCTTCCCCCTGTCTCTCCCTTCCTTCTTTCCTTCCTTTTTTCTTTGCTTCCCTCCCTCTTTTTCTTCCTTCCTTCCTTCTTCTTCTTCTTCTCCTTCTCCTTCTTCTTCTTCTTCTTCTTCTTCTTCTTCTTCTTCTTCTTCCTCTTCTCCTTCTCCTTCTCCTTCTTCTTCTTCTTCTTCTTCTTCTTCTTCTTCTTCCTCTTCTTCTTCCTCTTCTTCTTCTCCTCCTCCTCCCCTCCTCCTCCTCCTCCTCCTCCTCCTCCATCTCTCTCTCATGTGGGAGAAAAACTCTATTTCTTCTTTGTGGCCCTACAGTACAGAGCTAGGACCACTGTGTAGAAGTTGCAGAGGGGTGAATGCAGCCTTGATGTGAGAGAAAACTTTCTAATCATTAGAGCTATTCAAGAGTGAGATAGGCTGACTTTGGAGGTAGCCAGCTCTGCCTCAGAGGAGGTCTTCCAGCAAAGGTTAGATGACCATTTATTGGATACGCTGAAGCAAGGATTCTTTTTCTGCCATGGATTGCTCTAAATGGCCTTCTACCTCTTAAAATTCTATGATTCAGGGACAGCTAGGTGGTGCAGTGGATAGAGCACGGGCCCTGGTGTCAGGAGGACCTGAGTTCAAATCCAGCCTTAGACACATAACACTAGCTGTGTGACTGTGGGCAAGTCACTTAACCCCAATTGCCTCCCACGCTCCCCCCCCCCAATTTATGATTCAAATGGTTTCCATCTCAGTAATATAGAAGGCAAAGTTATCAGCTTAGAGTATAGGCTTGAGGGACTAATCCAAGCAGTAGAAATGGGGACCTGAAGAAAGGAGAGCAGGTTTGGTATTGCCAGTTTTAGGAAAGTAATAAGTGCACTGCAGTGTGATGGGAAGAGTGCTGAATTTGGGGCCAGAGGTGGTGCAGTGGATAGAGTCAGGAAGGCTTGAGTTGAAATCCTCTGTCTCACACTTACTGGCTATATGCCAACCACTTCACCTCTAGTGTTCTAAGGCTCTAACTCTCTAAGTTGAAGACAAGGTGCTGATCTGCATTGGTAGAGGGAATTTCCTTACCTGGGAGTTTCCTATAAAATAAAAATTAGGTCTAGTCCCTAACCCTATTTCCAGGGCCTAGGACTGTGCCTTGTGCAGAAGAGATTAACAAAAAATATTCTTGTGAGCTGGAAGGGACGTCAGAGGTCACTTAGGGAATTTATTAAGTGCTTGCCGACAGGGGATAGAGTGCTGGGGCTGGAGTCAGGAAGACTCATGTTTGTGAGTTCAAATCTGGACTCATATACTTATTAGCTGTGTGACCCTGGGCAAGTCACTTAACCTTATTTGCCTCAATTTCCTTATCTGTTAAATGAGCTGGGGAAGGAAATGGCAAACCACTCCAGTATCTTTGCTAATAAAGCCCCAAAAGGGGTCATGAAGAGTTGGATATGACTATGCCAGGCACTGAGCTAAGAGTTTTACAGATAGTATTCCATTTGATCCTCACAACAACCTTGGGAGGTAGATGCTATTATTCTCCTCATTTTACAGTTGAGGAAACAGAGTTAAGTGACTTTCCCAGCTAGTAAGTGTCTGAGGCTGGATTTGAACTCAGATCTTCTGGGACAGCTGGGTAGTGCAGTGGATATAGCATTGGCCCTGGAATCAGGAGAACCTGAGTTCAAATATGACCTCAGACACATGATACTCACTAGCTGCGTAACCTTGGGTAAGTCACTTCACCCTGATTGCCTCACCAAAAGAAAAAAAAAATTAAAAAAAAGCCAATGAACTCAGGTCTTCCTGACTCCAGGCCCAGCAGTGCTCTAGCCACTGAGCCATCCAGCCACCATGAGGAAACTGAGACTCAAGGTCATACAGCTAGTTATTGGCAATGACAAGATTTGAACCCAGGTTTTCTGACGTGAGACAGCTCCTTTTCATTATCCTTTCATTAGCTTCTCATTCAGTTAAAATGAAATCAGTTCAGTTCAGTTTGGCTCAATTTAACAAACATTTATTCAGTGCCTATGGTAAGCAAAACTGAACTAGGTGCCAGAGATAAATAGTCCCTACCCTCAAATCTAATTACTATAATCTATTTTATGTAACTATATAAAATCTATCTACCTATATAATCTGTGTATAATATATATAATATACATAAAAATATATAAAATCTATCCCTCTATTATAATCTAATAGAGGGATAAGGAATGTAAATATCCCCAAAGCGAGTGTAATAAGGGCAAAGTAGAGATCCAGAAAAAGCATTCTAAGAAAACATGAGGGTCACAGGGTCCTGGATGGGAGAGGTCATGGTCATTTAACCTTCTCCGGGTCTTGGGACCTGGGGCTGGACCCAGGGCTGGACCCAGTGATCTGTAAAGCTCCTTCTAGGTTTAAATCTATAACCCTATGATCTGAGGGGATCCAGGCAGGCTCCTAGAGGCCAGGGCACCTGCGTTTGACCCTGCAAAAAGAGGATTTCATTTGACTGAGCTGCGGAAAGAGTGCGTTCCAAGCCTGGAGGATGGCCTTCACAAATGCACGAAGGCAGAAGAGTGCAGGGTGGGATTACAGACAGCTGGCACCACTCTAGCTTGCCTGGAATGCAGAGTTTGTGGAAGGGGATAGTGGGAAATAAGGCTGAAGTGGAAGTGGGCTGGGAAGAGGCGTAGGAGTTTGGGAGCCCCGCGACAACAGCAACAGTCCCCACCAGCAGCCCCTATCTTGTGTAACCCCTTCATTTTACAGATGAGGAAGCCGAGCCTCGTTTGGGTCGAGGTCATGTGATTGGCCGGAGGCCACGCAGCTTTAAATAAGAATCAGGGTCCAGTCTAATGCCCCGGGGTGGGTCACGTACTGGTCCTGCTGGAGAGAAACGAGTGTCCTTCCCTCTCAGGGGAGGCAGTGGGTCGTTCAGGCTGTGGTCCGCCCTCCTCTGAAGGAGAAGGCAGGAAAGGCTCGAATCCCACCGAGAGTATCCCATGGGGTAACGTGTACTTTTGAACTGCCGCCAGAGGTACAGAACAGGAGCAGCTCTATCCAGTGGTCTTGGCAGTGGGGAGGTTTGCTGTGTGGAAGTTTTGTCTGGGGCTGTTTGGCTCAGTCACTTGGAACATGATGCTTCTGTACCCAAGATTGTGGGTTTGGTTCACAAGTGGGGGAGTTAGCTTGACTCTGACCCACAGACACCTTTGGCTCGGCTGGCTGTGATTGAGCCTTGTGATCACAAGTGAGACCAGTAAGGTCAGAGGCTGGATGGCTCAATGGAAACCAGGAAAAAGGAAAACACTCGGACGTGCCTTGCTTACTGGGAGGTGAGTAAGGTAGGACAGCATATACTCTTCTGAATATACTTGGTATAGATCGGGGATGCCATGAGTCTTTTAGAGAAGGGAAAATAGGAATGGGACATAGAATTGGAAACTTTCACTCGAAGAGATGTAGAAAGGCATGGAGCCTAAGGGTGGGGGTGGCCCATATGAGCACCAGCTCATAGATGTGCTCTGGGGAGCAGGAGTTGTCTGCTGCTGGTGGTGATGGCCTCAAAAGATGGGGAACCACAAAACAGCTCTTTCCTTTACTTAAGGGGACATCCACGGTTTTGCTACAATGTACCTTTGCAGACTTGTTTCAAATTTTTTTCCATTTTATGCAATCTAAACTCCAGCTTAACTAGGCTACTTGTGGTTCCCTGAATTTGATTTCATTTTCCACCTTCACGAATCTGAACAAGCTCTTCCATAGTTGGAATTCTCTGTCTTTCAGAATCCTTAAGTCTCAGCTCAAGCAATGGAAGCCTTCACCTCCTCCATGACATCTTCTTTGATCTCCTGAGATGAGAGCGTTCTCTCCCTCCTTACATTTTCCTAGATCACTTTGCTGGATGTCTCCTATTACACCCCACCTAGTGGTAAGAATACCGTGATCTGGGTTTCTGTGGAGAAATAGGGCAAAAGTCACCAACTCCACCCAACTGTCTTTCTAATCTTACTCTCAAAACTAAACCAGGAACATTATGGAGATTGAAAGGGATCTCCTCACGAAAGTTCCACCCAGTTCCTTTGCAGTTTTCCCAAGCAGAGGGTTCAGGATCATTTAAAGGGGAAATAGGTTATTATTGATCCTGTGGCATAATTGAAATTCAAAAGCATATTGTCACTTAACCGCCATTGCCTCACCAAAAAAAAAAAAGGAAAGAAAAAAAAAAGAAAAGAAGAAAGAAAGCATCTTGTACCGTAACTCAAATACAGCTTAGATCCAGAGCACACACATAGCAGTTGGGAGAAAAGGACAGACTTAAAAAATCAAATGACTTCTTTCATTAGGTGTCTAGGAGTAGCTGGCTGAGGTCTGTATCACAAAAGAGCTATCTGCAACCCCTAGGGCTATAAACTAAAGAGCTGTCAAACCCTTTCAGTGCAGGAAAGAAGCTGAAGGCCAACCAATGGCTGCAGAGATGGGAAGCCTATGAAGATGCTTAGCAGAAATAGATTAACAGAGATTCTCAGCAGAGAAGAGCAGTTCAGCAGACATATAGCAGAGAACAGTTCTACAGTGTGGGGGATGAGTTGTCCTGGATGTATGTGTTCCTTGACCAGATGTGTTTCCTATGAGTGTGATTGGGAACATGTGCTCCCTGGCCTGACCCCTCACTGGGGCAGCTGGCCCAGCAGAGAGCAACACCGGTGGGGAAGGGCCCTCAGATAAGCAGACCCATTGGTCACATTAGTAGAAGCCCTCCAATGCAGCCCTTACACACACACACACACACACACACACACACAGGTTCCACACATTAAGGCAGCTAGGACACGTGGTGGATAGAGTGCTCAACCTGGACCCAGGAAGATTTGAGTTAAAATCCAGCTGCAGACACTTATTAGCTATGTGACCCTGGGCAAGTCACTTAACTTTGGACTGCCTCCCTTTCTTTAATTATAAAATGAGGATAATAAAAGCACCTACCTTATGAGGTTGTTGTGAGGATCAAATGAGATATTATCTATAAAAAGCACTTAGCACACAGTGCCTGGCAGTATTAGATGCCGTACAAATGCTTGTTCTCTTTCTTCTCCCCCTGTCTATCAATTCACTTATTCTTCCCAATGACAGTGTGGGTATTTGTAAAAGAGAAAGCCCCAAGTTTATGGGGAAATGTTCTACCCATCAAATGAGTAAATGATGCCATCTTCCAGCTGACTAGTAAAAGTAAATACATTAGCAGAAGCTTGAGAACTATGTTTTCCAGTGAATGAGAAACCTTGAACTTAAGGTAGCTTGTCTGGAATGGCCATGTGGGAATGGGGGTACCCCAGGTGCTATGAGTGCCATAATTATCATAACTAATATTTATTACTTTTAATTTATTTTGTGTAGTACTTTATATTTATTATATTATTTTTATTTTATTGTATATTTATTATAATATTTATATAGAACTTTAGTTTGCAAGGCTGCTTCTTCTTCTTCTTCTTCTTCTTCTTCTTCTTCTTCTTCTTCTTCTTCTTCTTCTTCTTCTTCCTCTTCTTCTTCTTCTTCTTCTTCTTCGTGGAAGAATGGGGTTAAGTGACTTGCCCAGAGTCACACAGCTACTAAGTGTCTGAAGTAAAATTTAAACTCCTGACTCCAGGCCTGGTGCCCTATCCACTGCATCACCTAGATGCCCCTGCAAAGCAGTATTTGTGCATTTTTCAACTGCATTTCATGCCAGTGAGGTAGGTACTATAGGGACTGCCAACCTCATTTTATAGATGAAGAAACTGAGGCTGAGTGGAATTAAGTGACCTGCTGATGGTCACGCAGCTAGCGTCAGAGGCAGGAGTTAACCCAAGTGTTTCTGATTCACATTCTAGCACTTCATTTTCTCTTCCACTTGACAGCTCTGTATGCCCAGCACCTACTTCACGGGGTCCCCTCTCCACAGGGGATGCTTAATAAATGGTGCAGTAATTGTTACTCTGGATGGGGTGATAAGGGATGTATCTAATTCCTCCACCCTTTGTTCCTCTCCCCTTTTCTAACTTCCCTCTCTTCAACCCTGTAATTAACCAGGTCAACTCTACTCTGTCCTCTCCTTTGGAATCCTTTCCTTCTTTGTCCTATGATTTCTCCTTCTTGGCCAAACCACAAGCCTGGATGACTCCTACCATCCCCCTCCTCTATTCACAGGCTGCCGAATGGAAACAGAGGAAACCAGGCAGCCGAACAGACTGGGTTTACTACAAAAATCTCGCCACAGCAACATAATCCTTCTGCTCTTCTCTAATTAATTCTCTATCCCATTCCCACAGAGGCTATTTAAGACCTTCTCCCTTCCAGCTTCCCAAACGTCCCCCTCCCCTCATCTCAGGTGACAATCTCTGCTCACACTCCTGTAAGGGGTGGGGTGGGGAAGGACTGGCCAATCAGAGCCCAGCAGTCACCCATGACCCTCTGCCTGACCACCACTGCCCCATACTGAAGTTGGTTAAGCCGACATCTAGGATGCATCCCAGAGGGTCCTGCTCTCCACCTCAGAGCGTGCGCTAATTGTTTTCTGTCTACCTACTGTGTGCTGTTGAAGGGCTTTTGGGCTAGCTGCCCAGCTAGTACTAGGTATGCATACCACCCACTCAGCCTCTTTGACCTTTGCCTCCTTCTTCCCTGGCTGTATTGGAGTAAGCTGTGGGGATAAAAAGGGAGAGAAAGCTGGGTAGCGCACTGGATAGAGCACTGGACTTGTAGGCAGGAAGATAGATGTGAGTTCAAATCTGGCCTCAGACACTTACTAGCTATGTGCCCCTTTCCCCCACCCCAATCATTTAATCTCTGCCTCAGTTTCCTCAATTATAAAATGGGAATACCTGCCTCCCAGAGTTGTTGTGAGGAATAAGTGAGGTAATATTTGTAAAGTCCTTTGCAAACCTTAAAAGTGCTATATAAGTGTTATTATTAATTATTACTTCACAGAAGACAAAGTGCTGGGCCTGGAATCAGGAAGACCTAAATTGAAATCTGACCTCACACAGTAGTTGTGTAACCCTGGGTAGGTCACTTAACCTCCATTTGCCTCAGTTTCCTCAACTGTAAAATGGGGACAATAACAGCACCTACCTCCTGGGGTTGTTGTAAGGATCAGATGAGATAATGTCTATAAAATGTACTTAGCATAGTGCCTGGCACATAGTAGGTACTTTGCTTATTCTCTCCTCCCAACCCCGCACCTGAAAAATGGAAGCAAATGGCTTAGGTGTCCCCCTCCTCCCCACTCACGTGTGGATCACCTTAGTTCAGGTTCTCAGACTTTCAACAGAACTATTGCAATTACCGACTAATTGGTTTTCTTGCCTCCTCTCTCCCTTCTATAATCTATCCTCAATTCAGCAGCTCATGATTTTCCCAAGCTGCAGATCTGACCCTATCCCTGCCCTATTCAAGAAACCCCAGTGACTCCCCATTGCCTCGAGGATCAACTATAATCTCCTAACTTTTAGCTTTTTTTTTGGGGGGGGTGAGGCAATTGGGGTTAAGTGACTTGCCTAGGGTCACACAGCTAGTTAAGTGTCAAGTGTCTGAGGCCAGATTTGAACTCAGGTCCTCCTGACTCCGAGGCTGGAGCTCTATCCTCTGCACCACCTAGCTGCCCCTAACTTTTACCTTTTAAAGCCCTTTTGCAATCCAGTCTCAATATACCTTTTTGGCTCCTTTCTGGCCATCCCACCATGTCTGAAACCTCCCATTTCATAGTCCAAATCTGAGAACCCCAAATTTCCATCAAAACTTTGCTCAAGTGCCACCTTTGAGATGAGGCTTTTTCTGATTTTGCCCCTTTTTTAAAAAAAATGCTGTCTTATATTTATTTTGTGTTATATGTGTTGTCCTAAAAGTCACAGTGTGGTTTAAAGCTAAACTGCACCAAGACTTTTGGGACACCCTGTATTTTATATATGTAATTATTGATGTACACGTTGCCTCCCCCCAAAAGAATACAAGCTCCTTGAAGGCAGGGACTCTGGTTTCTGTCTTTATATCTCTAACTCCTAAGCTCAGTGCCTGGCATATGGTAGGCCCTTCCTTAATAGATGTTTGTTGATTGATTATTGGAAGAGGTGGTACTGGATTCAGGCCCTGAAATTAGATTAGGGTTTAGGGAGCATGGTGTGGTAGAAAGGGCATGGATTTGGAGTCAGAGGGATCTGGGTCTGACTTTTTGCTGTGCCACTAACTCCCTACCAGTGACTCTGTTTTCTTATCTATAAAATGGATATAACAATGCTTATACTACCTGTCTCACAAGTTACGTGTATATAACCAAGTAAGATTATTGAAGTAAAAGTTCTTACAAAGTCTAAGTCACTTTGAAATGCCAAGATTTATCATAGCCTCTAACCTCCTTTCCCCAGCTCTTCTTTCCCTTTATATATTCTCATCTCCTCTATTCACCTCCCCCTGTCTCCATAGTTCACCCGTCCAGGTCCTGTCTTTCTCCCTCTGACCCTTGTCTCTGTTGTCTGTTCCAGGCTGATGCTGGGTCCCCCTGTCAGGGATGGAAGGAAGGGTGATTAAGGTCCTTGGGCATGGGGCAAGGTCTGCATTCTCAGTCCCCTGAGTCTCACCCCCAGGGGGGAAGCTGATTGAAAGCAGATGCCCCTACAGCCCAGACTTTGGTAGGGACGGACTGAACCAGCTCCCACCAGCACTAACCAGCTCCCCTCACCACCGGCATGTCCTGGGGGCCGCAGACTCTCTGTCAGCAAAGCCGCATCCGTCCTGCAGTGGGGAGAGGTCACCGTGGCTACCCTCACCTCCAACCCAGCAATTTAACCACCATGGTGAGAAACCTCCAGCAAACCCCAAGCTGGCATCTCCATGGAGTCCCTCTGTCTCCCCCTCCCCCTGTCCTGAACTCTCCTGGGAGCAATGGGAGCAGAACTGAGGGTCAGGAGTAGGAAGGGGGCAGGGACCCAGTGGGAGTAAGAGAAGCTGAGATGGAGAGAAAGGAGATAAGAGAGGGGTGCAGATGGGATTGGACAGGGATGAGGATGAAGCAAAGGCTAAAAGAAACAGATGTGGGAAGATACTGGGATGAAGAGAAAGAAAGACAGGGACTGGGAGGAAAGAGATTGGAAAGAGAAGCCTTCATCTCATTTATCCCTCCTCTGTCTGCTGTTTCTCCCAGCATCCTTCGTTAACTTCAACACACACACACACACACACACACACACACACACACACACACACACACACACACACTGAACTTAGGGATATAAAGAATTTTTTTTTTAATGACATGGTCCATTGGGGTTGGGATGGGTGGGATATAAATACACAGATCAGTATAATACAAGTATGACAGTGACCATCCCATTCTGTCCCAGCTCTGGCTGCCCATGCAGGGACCCACCAAGGATCCAGACCACAGACCCATCCCTATGCCTGCTCCAAGGGAGAGCCACTGCTACACAAGGCAGAGAGTGAAGTGGGCAAAGGAGACATTTATACAACGTGGTGCGGAAAAATTTGAGACTGTAATCTCATCTTGGGCAGATCAGGAAAGATTCTGTGGATGAAGTGGCACCTTGAAGGAGGAAAATTCTGAACAGGAGTGATGAGGAAGGAATGCATTCCAGATAAGGGAACAGGCTGAGTCTGAGCAAATATGCATGGAACTAGTAAGGAGGCAGCATGTCCAGTTTGGGGGAAGCTAGTAGTCTAGTTTGGCTGAGATACATTCTGAATGAAGGGAAGTAACTGGGAAATAAACACTGGAAAGGTAGAGCCAAGTTATGAAGGGCCTCAAATGTGAGGCAGAGAAGTTTCTAGTCTGTCTTAGAGGTGATAGAGAGACACTTAAAGTTGTCATTACTGTTGTTTTTAGCAAAGGAATGACATTATCAGACTTGTGCCTTAAGAAAATTATTTTGTCAACTATGTTTAGAGTCAATTGGAGGGGAGAAATGGGGCAGGGAGACCAATTAGGAGGGTATTACAGTAGTTTAGGAAAGAGATATGGGAGACCTAAATAGCAGTGCTGGCAAGATGAATAGAGAAAAGGGGATGCGTGTGACAGATGTCAATGATTTCCCTCTTCTCCTCCCCCCTTACCCTTACCCCATATTGCTTACCAGTAATTACTTACTAACAATCTGAAGTGGAATGGGCTACTTGGAAAAAGGGAGGAATCCCTACTATCCGAGGCCTTCAAGCAGAGGCTAGAACACCACTTGCTCTAGCCAGCAAAGATGTAGGGAGGATTCTTGTTTAGGTACAGATTGGACTAGATGACCTTACTAGTTGGTTCCAACTCTGACAGCTTGTCCTTCCTCCAGATGAACCCCTATCTGCTGAATGTAAGACCCCTAGCTACGTGAGGCTGTTCATAGTTCTCTGTATGCAGAGGCTGGAAAACCAACCAGTCAGTTAATGGATAAGGATTTATTATGTGTCTGTGTTGGAAAAAGGACACAAATGAAATGGTTCCTGCCCTTGTGGAATTTACATTCTATTAGGGGAAATAATATATATAAGGAGAGCCTGTAGGCTCTGGCCCACTCTCCTAGAGTCAGGCAGGTTACAATCTGTTCCTGAGTGTTTTAAGGCTACCTTGAGGGATTAGAGTCTGTTTTCTCATTTCCACTGACTAAAGTCCCTACTGGCTGTGTTTTCCCCATTAGGGGCTAGTAATTAGCACCCATGTTCTGTGGCTGTTTCTGGTTCTTCATTTTCAAAGAGGACCAATGACAGCAGGGTGACTTGGATTTAAGTGAGGCAGAATTGCACAAAGTCATAAGCCTCACTCTCTCTTCTAGAATCAGTCAAGTCCAGTGTTAAGACAAAAGTCACAAGGACTGGTGATGGCCCTGGGATGGATGGATGACCTTGGCATCTTTGATGTCTGACCAAGCTCTGAGGGCCCCACAGCTTGGCAAACCCTCACACCAGAGGTGCTAGTCCTCCATTAACACCCCCTACGTACTCAAGTTCTATTCAACCATTGAATCTCAATTCCTTTGTACAAAGGGCTATTTACTACAAAGATATAGCAAGAGCAAACTTAAAAACAATCCCCACCCCTGCCACATCTGGGGGAGAAGTGGGGAGGAGTCAGCATACTCTTCCCCATATCACTTCAGTCTCTGGGGAAAAGAAGACTTATGAAAGTCCCCATAGAGCATAGGTACCACCAAGTTCATGTCAAGAGGTGGGGTGACTCTGGGTGAGTCCTCGTCTTACTCTCCACTGGTCTGTGTCCAGAAGTTCATTCCCAGAGGTCAGTCCTTCCTGCTTAGGTTGTCTATAGCCCGGACTCTGATTCCTAGATTTTTTGGCATTTGTTCTCCTGATCTTTTGAAATTTAATGAAGTTGGAGGCTCTGCTCACTTCCTTCAATTAGAACAGAAAAGAATAGATGTAGAAGCTAAGGCCTGAGGTCCATTTCTTGGGGCCACAAAGTCTCAGAGCAGAGAAGGCCCTAAGGCTTTTCTTCTTACAGAATGGGATCTTGCTGGATTCTGCAAGCAAAGGAGATGGGCAGGGAGGTGAAGGGTAGTGGCTGAAGCTGATCTAGGCCTTTCTGAAGATTGTGGGAGTGGGGAGGCACCCCCCACCCCCAATTCTGAGTGAGCGGCCGATTGAAAAAGGGTCTTTCTAACCACATGGTTAATAGATGGGACGCAGACTGCTCATGGTCCAGAGTCTCCCCAGGCCCTTTCCTTGCACATCACTGTGACTCTCCTGGAAGTAGCTTTGTCCAGCTTCTCCACAGGAAGGAATTTACAACAGCCAAAAACACTGCATTCATTCTGTGTTTGTGCCAGGCCCCCGTTACACATATAATAAAGGATGTAAGAAGTAAAAAAAAAGCCTATAATAAATATATTCAAGATCAATACAAGGTAATTTGGTGGGAGTGGGAGGGTGGGAATCAGAAAAGGCTTTGTATAGAGGGCGCTTGAGCTGAACTTCAGAGAAAACTAGAAATCCCAGAGCCTTGGCTACCCAGCCCTGACTGATCCCTCTGGGTTGGCAAAGTCTGGGAAATGGGGAGCAGAGGAGGGACAGATGAGGAGTGTCTTATTGTCTCCTGCCAGGTTGGCGCCAAAGAAGGCTCATGGAATTGTGTTGTAAGGCAGAGGTGTTCAGTGACAACACAGATAACACTCCCTTGGAGAACCAGATTAAAATATAATTGGGAAATATTTTACCAAATAAATAAAAGTACAATAGACCATAGATTAAATTAATATGTGGTTTTCTAAACCAATATGCTCCTTCAGAGATTTTTACGTGCTAGTGACCCCTATTTCTATTTGAATTTGATACCATGACTGCAAGGGACCTTCAAGATTATCTTTTTTTTTTTTGTCTAGGAATGAGATTAAGTGACTTGCCCAGGGTCACACAGCTAGTAAGTGTTATGTGTCTGAGGCCACGTTTGAACTCAGGTCCTCCTGAATCTAGGGCCAGTGCTCTATCCACTGCTCCACCTAGCTGCCCCAAGATTATCTTGTCCAACTTCTTCACCTGACGTAGAAGAGAACGAGTCCAGAGACATGACTTACTTAAGGTCAGATGTCCAGTTAGGCAGCTGGGTCAGAATCTAGGATGCTTGGCTTTTCCTTCAGAATGATCTTGGAAATTTGGGCCCTTTTCAAACTACCAACTGCTCCCAAGCTTCCTGTATAACAAACAAACAAATAAACAAACAACAACAATGATGAAACCTACAACTCCTTTATCTGTAAAAAAACCAATCTATCTGCCTCCTGTTTGTCCATTCATTCATTCAAAAAGAATTAAATGCCCACTATTTGAAAAACACTTCAGTGAATGGAGTATAGTATAACTTAATGGATAGAGTGCTCTTCTTGGGGCCTGCAAGGCCTGGGTTCCAGTCCTACGTCTGACCTTGAATAGCTGTGTGACTTAATCTCATTCTCCAAGATTTTATGTTAGAGACAGGTGGTGATCTGATACACTCTCATCTGTGCTAAACGCCCAGGATATGAAGGTAAGATATGACAGAACCCTTCTGGCCATCAAGAATAGGGTAAGTCCATTTCAGGTAGAAACAAAGTCCATTCCGGGCAGGAGAGAACTGAGGCATGGTAAACAGTCCAGTTGGTCTAGAACATTGAATGTCCAAAGGGGAGTAGTACGGAAAGAGAGGTTGGAGCCAAACTGTGGAGGGCCTTGAATGCTACCTTAATGAGTCTGTACTTTATCTCGTAGACAGTGAGAAGCCACTGAGAACTTTCAAGCAGGAAAGGGACCTGATCAAAACTATGCATTAGGAAAATGGCTTGGATTTCAAAGCTCTGGTCAGTATAATTCCAGAGAACAATGGAGGCAGTGTGGCCCAGTGGAAAAAGCACTGGCTCTGCACTCAGGGGGCCTTGGTTCAAACCATAGCTCTGAAGCTCATTACTCGTGAGGCCTTGGACAAGCTATTTACCAACTCCTTGGGCCTCAGATGGTGATACATACCTTCTACCTCTCAGTAGTGAGGTGCTGGACCTTAGGTGTATAATGAAGATACATTGTGTAGTGGATAAAGGTACCAAAACTTGCCTCAGACACTTTCTAACTGTGGTAAACTCTCTATGCCTCAGTTTCCTCATCTGTAAAATAAGGAGATTGATCTTGATGTCCTCTGTCTAAGGTCCCTTCTAACTCTGTATGTATGCTCCTAGGAATGTGAGAAATATGTTGTTCTGATCAAATTGCTTGTCAGACATGGCCAATGTGTGGGTTTGCTTTCCTTAACTACTTGTCATTTGTTACAAGAGTTTTAATTGCAGTCCCTGGGGAATCATTTGGAAGTGACTGAGGGTCTTTTTTTTTTTTTAAGAGCATTAATAAAATAATGAAGAAAAAACAAAAGTACTTTGGGGAGTTAGGATTGTGAAGAATGGCTTGGAGAAAGGGAGGTACTTGAAACGCTTAAGAAGCAATAACAACAGTCCCGAGAAGGGGTGATAGGTTTTCAATATGACAGTGGCATCTGAAAAAAATGGGGGGCTGGCTTCTATCCTTTCCCCTTTTATCTCGCCCTGATTCTTAGCTCCTCCCCTCTGTCTCAGATCTTCAGCCTGCCTCCCTGTTCCCTTTGCAGCAGATCCGTGTGGCTGTCCTGGTGGAGGCCCTGGTCCAGTTTCTTCAGCCTGTCCTCCCCTTTTGTATGCCCAACCAATCCCTCGTCTGACCCCGGGTCCCTTGGAGGTCTTCTCCAGCACTCAGTAAATGAGTATTCATCAAGGGCATGCTTTGTGGTTAGCAATGTGCCGAGGAGAGGGGTGCAGAGGGGAGAGGGGATTGGCTCTGAGAAGGGTTGGGGGAGAGTGGAGGGAGCAGGTGCAGGAGGGCTAGTGTAAGACTTGGTTCCTGCTCTGAAGGAATCTGTAATCTAGCTGGACACGCTGCATATGCTGGGCACATGAAACTGGAAGAAAAAAACAAGGAAGCATGCAATTGTGAGGTCCTCCTTACAGAAAAGCCAGGCCACCACAGAGAGTTTATGTTCTGAGACAGAACAGAATAAACACTTAATAAAGGCTTGTTCATGTAGTGAATGGTAATTCCCGGGCCAGGATTTTACTTGTTACTTTTACTTGTTTACTTATTACTGTGTAATGATGGATCTGATGGCTTCTGAAGGTAGTGAGTTCCCCATCACTGCAGGTCTTTAAGCAGAGACTGAGTAACCCCTTAGAGATGTAGAAGGAATTCCTTTTCAGGTAATAGCACCAGATGATCTCTGAGGTCCCTTTCTGCTCTGAGGAGAGCAATGTCGTGCAGGGCTTACTCTATTCCCAACATGATTCCACCAGGATACACCTAGTGTAGAGTACTATGCTTGGTGTTGGGGAAGATATAGTCTAGATTCAACAGTCCCTGTCCTCATGGCACTTACAGTCTGGTAAGAAAATTTGCACAAATGATTATAATACAAATTAATATGTGATATAGCTATAATTCAGAATTATGTGACTAAAAAAGAAGCGTGCTATTTTCAGTCATGTCCAAGTCTTTGTGACCCTGTGGACAGACCGTCCATGGGATTTTCTTGGCGAAGATACTGGAGTGGTTTGCCATTTCGTTCTCCAGTGGATTAAAGGCAAATAGAGGTTAAGTGACTTGCCCAGGGTCACACAGCCAGTAAGTAACTAGAGCCTAAATTTGAACTCAGGTCTTCTGACTCTAGGCCCAGCACTCTATCCACTGAGCCACCTAGCTGCCTCCAAAATAGAAGTGCGGTAGATAGAAAAGTGACTGCAGAATCTGAAAGACCTGAGTTCAAGTCCTGTTTTTGATACATATTGCCTGTGTGACCCTAGACAAGTCACTTAACCTCTCAGTGGTCCAGGCACCTCTATGAGCTGTTGAGAAGGTGGCCATCTACATTAGTAGAGGAATCTCTTCC